GTCACTCTAAAATTTCAATAATAAAATCTCGTTTTTTTCCCATTCTTGTTTTGTACTTTTTCAAAAAAACTTTATAGATAACTTTTGGACAAATTTTTTTGCTTAAAACTTTTTTTCTTAAAACAACTTTATTTTGAAAACTTTTCTTAAGTAATTTTTCAAAAACGACTTTTTTAGTTAAAAAAAAAAAGAACCAAAAGCAAGTATGTTAGCCAAAAAAATACCGTGTAACAGGGGAAATAAATTTGGCATTACAAAAATTTTTTGAATTTTGAACAAATATTTCAGAATTACAGAAGAAAATATTTGATGTACAGTAATGGTGAGCAAAAATTTTTTTTGCTGGTGACGAATAGAATAGTTCAAAAAATAAAAACTGACTGAGAATAGTTTTTTTTCTTTTCAATCATCTCAGTGACAATTACTGCCACTTTTCAGGTATAAGGATGACCAGTTGTTACAAGAAGACAATCGACACACATTCTATGCTGATGAAGACGGATTCTTTGCCTTAACTATCGACCCAGTACAAATTGAGGATACTGGCAGGTATACTTGTATGGCCACTAATGAGTACGGTCAAGCATCCACTTCAGCGTTCTTTAAAGTCATCAAAGGTTAACTTAATTCTTTTCTGTTTTTCCTATCAAATTTGGTCTATTATCTGTTTAGCTTGTTGAATGCTTTTTGGAATTGATATAGTAAAAAAGAGTCTAGATACTGTAATTAATACAATTTTTTATAGAATGAACACCAAAAGAAGTGTGAAAAAGTATTTGCATTTTATTTTTTTACACTGTGCCTAATAATGTTAAGTTTTATTTTTTAAAACTTTCTTCAAACAAATAATTATTCAAAACCACTCATATTCCAACTGTTTCATTTTTTTTTTTTTGCTGCAGTTGAAAAAGAAGCAGCTCCACCAGCTTTTGTCAATACATTAAAAGATCAGGAAGTAAAGGAGGGCGAAGTTGCATGCTTCGAATGTGAAGTAAATAGCTTAATTTATCTTTGGAATCGCTTTTTTCTTTGGGAATATTTTTTCTTATCATAAATATAAAAAAAACAGTTCAATTTTGGTTTATTACAATTATTATAAAAGTTTTTAAATGTTCGTTTCTATTTTAGGTTGAAGGATGGCCTGAACCTGAGCTTATGTGGCTCGTTGACGACCAGCCGTTAAGACCTTCTCATGACTTTAGATTAGATTATGATGGGCAGAACGCACGGCTTGAAATTCGAGACGCTCAACCTGAAGATACAGGCACTTATACAGTACGTATCAAAAACGAATATGGCTCTGCTGAATCGAACGCTAAACTTACAGTTGAACCTGATCCAGATCGTAATCATGTTGCTCCAGAGTTTCAGGTAATATTTTTCATGATTGCAACTTTTAATTAATTCTAAAAAAATCATTTTTAATTACAACTATCTCTGATAAAATGTAAAAGTTTTTAATAAGTGAAAAGTGCTACACTACAGACATCTATGGAAGATGTTGAATGTGACGAAGGAGACGATGTTAGGTTTAAAACTGTTCTAACTGGTGACCCCAATCCAGAAGTATGTTGTTTGTTTTTATAAGAAATTTCATTTTTTTTCCCACTTTGGTTATCGTTGATAGGTTGTGTTGATGGAAGCTTTAGTGCTGTCTGAACAACCTAATTTTCTTGTCATAATTTTTTTTCCTTTTTTTGTCTTTTTTGGATCACTATGAACAAAAACTGAGCCGTTTTATAGGTATCTTGGTTGGTTAATGGAATACCGCTAACAGAATCTGATAAAATTAAATTTATCTCTGAAGATGGTATTTGTATCTTAACAATTAAAAATGTTACGCGGCATTTTGACGGCATTGTTTCTTGCATGGTAAGGCACTGTTTTTTGTATTAGTGCAGATATTGCATGTAAATGTTATAATTATGAGTTTTTTCAATGCTATACATTTGCAGTTTTGGTAATTTTTTTTTCAGGGTGTTAATCGCCTTGGATCTCAGATCAGTGAAGCAAGGTTAAAAGTGCGTATACCTCCTACGCCTCCACAGTTTGATCGACCGTTGGAGGACAAAATTGTTCAAGAGGGTTCACGTATTCTTTACGATATTGAAATTAGTGGCTATCCCGAGCCAAGCGTAACTTTCTTATTAAACGGGAAAAAGGTGCTGATTTTACTCGGCTTATTGCTGTAGTCAAAAATATCTGATAAAGAATGTTTGACAGCTACAGACAGAACTGATGATTACTTTTTCAGATATCAAGTGGTGACTATGGCATTGAAATAAGTGGTAGAGGTGAAGGTATCTACCGTCTTGACGTGACATCTGCGGATGTTCAGAAGCATGACGCGGAATTTGCTTGTATTGCCATTAACGAGCATGGACAGGCAGAAAGTAGAGCACGGGTGGTTGTTGAACCGGTGGAAGAAGAGTCTCGCGCAGCACCAACATTTATTAAAGATATAGAAGATCAGGTATACACAGACTTGTTACTGTAAATAACAAAGATAATGAGTAAAACCAAAATGTTAAAACTCTTTTTCAGAAGAATTTTTGAATATAGATGTGTGCAGAGCGGAGACAAAAATGAGGTTCAGTCATTAAAGTAAAATAATTGTAGAAAGTCAAGCTTGGCGAACTGGCAGTCTTTGAAACGTCGGTGCGTGGAAATCCAAAGCCAGAAGTCTCATGGTTTATTAATGGTCGTAAGCTTGAGAAAAACACACCTGGAGTTCGAATTGAAACAACCGACATGGACCACAAAATAACCATTGATTCAGCACAATATGCTGGCACAGTTCTTTGCAGGTACACAAAAAGTTTGGCGGAGGTTTAATAGTAATTAATGCGATGCCATTATGCATTAAAAGACAATTACTGAGGCCATTAGTCTCAAAATAAGGCTGAAAAAAGTCTATATTTTAGAGCTGAAAATGCGGTTGGTCGCTACGAAACAAAAGCGAAACTAACTGTTTTGAGTCCAGAAAAACCAAAGAAGAAACCCACAGTAAAGGAAGGCTTGCAAGACCAAACTATTGTTGAAGAATCTACTGTGACTTTTGAAGCCGAGATTGAAGGAGAACCCAAACCAACTTACAAGTGGTATTTGAATGAAACTCAACTGGAAGAATCGGAAGTGAATATTTTCCAGAATTTTTTTCTTATTTTTAGAATTGTTTCAAAAAAGCAAATTCTTGAATATTTCTTATTATTTTTTTGTGAAGTTCGTCAGTTTCGACCGTTATAATTGATTTAGCGCTTTGCAGCAGTGTTTCAGTTTCTCTGGTATAAAAGATCTTATTATTTTGCAGAATATTCTAATCCGTGAGTTCGCCGGAAGTTGCAAAATAGAGCTCCATAATGTGAGCCTTAAACAAGGAGGAACCATCAAACTTGTGGCTGAAAATTCTGAGGGAAGCTGTGAATCAGTTGCTAAACTGATTGTTACTGAAAAGCCACATGCACCAAAATTCACGGTTAAACCTAAAAATGTTACTGTCGTGCGGGGATCTGAAGCTAGGTTTGAAGCAGAAGCGAAAAGCATTCCGGAGGCTACCTATCAATGGGCAATTAACGGGCGTAAAATCCGCGACACGACAACGGGTGCCCGCATTGAGTCAGCTGATGGGGTCTCCATTTTGATTCTTGATACTGCTATTTGGGACTCAGGGACAGTAACAGTTTTGGCAGAAAATGCGCAGGGTTGTGATGAAGCTGGAGCGCTTTTGACAGTAGAAGAAAAGAAGGCGGAAACGATGGAAGAAAAAACAGATGTTCATATTGCAGAAGAAACTGGCGAGCATAAAGTAGTAGAATCCAGAGCAGAAGAGCGTTATGAAGAAATTTCAATGACACAGCGAAGAATGGAAGTCAGGAAGAATCTGGAAGACCAGTACGTTAAACCAGGTGAAACTGCTCAGTTCGAAGTCATTGTACAGAATGCTGATGAACTTCAGTGGTATAACAATGGCAAATTATTATCAGACGATATGCCAGGTGAGACAGAATGTTTCAAATGTGAGGAATGTTTTTGCGCTTTATCTCTGTGAACCTTTGGAAAATATGTCGAGGTTTGGTTTTAGGGGTTAAAATAACATCCACTCAGAACTATGAGTTCCGCCTTAACATAGACTCTACCCAATATGCTGGCGTTATAACTGTAAAAGCCAAAACAGCATTTGAAACCCTGGAAACCAGCGCCAACTTGGTGGTGGAAGAACCGTCCGTACCGCCACAAATGACTAGTCAGTTGCAGAATATTACTGTGACTGAAGGTCAAACCCTGAAAATGGAAATAAGATCTGATAGAGACAGCAAATTTGAATGGAAGCTTAATGATAAACCATTGAAGGTAAAATAACTGAAGTAAGAGCATGAATGCCGGGAAAATGTGCCATGTGAACCTGCAAAAATTAATTTCGATTTTCTTCAGGGAATGGAAAATGTAGAAATAACAGAAGAAAAAACATACAGTAAAATGGAAATCAAAGATGTTACTAAAGAGCATGCAGGAAAAGTTACGGTTACAGCTATTAATGAAACTGGTGAAACTAGTTCGACATCTGAAGTTACAGTGAAGGAGAGAACGGAACCTCCAATTATTATGAAAGGTTATAATCAAAGATCTTCATAATTGTTACTTACTGAAAAGACAAAATTTGTAATTAGCACTGAAGCTTGCTCAACATTTATTTAGGACCACAAACAGTCAGTATAAAGGAAGGCGAAGATGCAAAATTCACGGCAGAGTTTGTTGGGAAACCAACGCCGACAGCAACATGGACACTCAATTCAGAAACTTTAGTGGAAACTGTCAATCGTGTTGAGATTATAACTGAAGAACACAAGTCGTCAGTCAATATCAAAAAGTGTACAGTTAAAGATTCGGGAGAAATCGCTATAATTACAGAAAATACATTGGGAAAAGATATTAGAACGGCTATTTTACAAGTACAGATTTCTTCATTATTTAACCTGTTTAGATTTCAAATGTCTTAGAAAAAGTAATTTTTTTAAAGTTTTTATTTATCACTAACGTATGGTTCGATCAGAGCATAAAAAAGGCTAAACTTCTCTCTCTTTTTTTCGTAGGTTTCACCCGACGAGAAAAAACCTGTGTTTGAAACTCAGTTGATTGATCGTAGTGTTGATGAAGGAGAGCCTTTGCGATGGGATGTTAGGATAGCACGACCATACGATTCAACAAAAGTGTCATGGTATTTGAACGAGAAAGAATTGATAAGCAGCGAAGAAGTTCAGATTATTAATCATGGTAACCAGAATTTTTAATTCATCTCAGAACATAAATTTCTATCTACCAACCTTATACGGTCATAAGTAATTGGTTAAAAAATTTTCTAGGCGATGGACATCACCATGTAACAATATCTGAAGCACGTACTGAGATGAATGGTATTTTGGTATGCAGAGCAGAAAACAGTTTTGGAACATCAGAATCAAGAGCGACTATCAACGTCAAAGAAGTTGACAGTAAACCAGTGTTTACAAGGAGCATTCAAGATCATGAAACTGTTGAAGGAGAATCTGTTAAATTCAGTGCTATTGTGCGCGGACGCCCTACGCCGAAAATTGTTTGGTATTTGAACGAAGAAGAAGTAAAAAGTTCTGAAGAAATTTCTATCAAACGTGACGAGTCTACCGGAAAAGTTTCACTGAAAATACTGAAACCGGTCGAAAGCCAAACTGGAAAAGTAAATTGATTGCTTTCTGTAGTATTTTGCTGTTATTTTCGAATAAAGTATGGGAGTACATTAAATTATTTTAGATAACTATTCGTGCTTCGAACAGTGTGGGTGAAACAGAATCTAGCGCTAAACTTGTCGTCGAGAAAAAGAAGGAACCACCTAGGTTTCTGGCTGATATGGACAGCCGCCAAGTTTACGAAGGTGATACAGTTAAATTTGCGGTTACTGTTGCTGGAACACCTACTCCGGAAGTTCAGTGGTTCCTTAATGGTGAACCAGTTGCCTCGACAAGGTTTGTATCTTATTATTAAAATTGCATTTATCTTTATTTTTTAAAAATCTTATATTTTTTTTTATACTGGTGTACAATCAATTATAGTTTTAGCAATATTACCATAGTTGAAGAAAATGGAACCCATACAGTTACGATGAAACAAGTAATACCAGAACAAAGCGGAGAAATTTCTTGCGAAGCTCGAAATTCAGCTGGACATAAAAAACAACATGCTACATTGACTGTGAAGCCAACTGGAGAAGCACCTACGTTTGCAAAGAATTTGGAAGATCGTCTTGTTGAAGAAGGCGGAAAATTGCATATGGAGGCTACATTATCAAAGGTAAACAAATTTATTGGGATCAGCAATATCTATTGTGTACTTGAAGATATAGGATGTAGAGAGACGAAGTAATGCTAACCTCATTACATTCACTTAAAATTAAGATTTAATTGCTATTGAAATAGCACGAAAAAATGTAGAACAGGGATTCTATGGGGCAATAACTCAGCAATTCTTGTAGACAAAACCAAAACCTGAAATAACATGGCTCCGCGATGGCTCACCGCTGAAGGACAAACGTTTCATAACAGGCATGACCGAAGATGGAGTGCTAACACTGGACATTGAGGAAACTCAGCTTAGTGATAAATCTAGAATCACCATAAGAGCAGAAAATTCTTTTGGTATTGCAGGTGAGCAAAAAGGGATCACAAAACTATCAACTGTGTATGCTAGAATTATGAGATGATTTTGAAAGGTTTTTTAAAAGCGAGCTTCATTTTTAAACTTATTATTCATTAATTCGTTAAACTTATTCTTATTATTTGTCTTTAGTTTTGATTAAATATTGAAGTAAGTCAGCAGAGAACAACTTTAGAGTGTTGTGCCTCCATTGGTGTGCAAAAGAAACGACCATTAGCAAAACCATCCTTCCTTTCTGATATTGCTCCTATATTTGTTAAAGAAGGTGACACTCTTGAGGCCAAAGTGTTGATTACTGGTGATCCTTCACCGTTTGCAAAGTGGTATATCAACGACCAGGTAAAATATCTATTAACATATTACGGAGTTACTAGTCTAATGAATTTCATTGATTTTTCGTATAATTATTTATGTCTTGGTAAATTGCTGTGCAGTTAGCACTAAAAAACTTATTAATGCGTCAAAATTTTAAAGAGTTACTCGTCGGTGCATTTCCATCTACTTCTTCGTTATATAACACTTTTTCAATTTAGCTGGTAGTTGAAACTGAAGACACAGAAATTAAATCAGAAAATGGCATATACACGCTAAAGATATTTGGTGCAAGCAGAGACATGACAGGTACCATCAAATGCACAGCTTACAATCGTATGGGTGAGATTACCACTGAGGGCAAAATTGAGGTCATATCTGCTATCCCAGTAGAATTTGAATCAACGCTCTGTGATGCAACCTGCCGTGAAGGTGATACATTAAAACTAAAGGCAGTATTACTTGGTGAACCGACTCCAGATGTTACATGGTAAATTACTTATTTGAAGAGCTAAAGTTTCTTAGGTAGTTGAGGCTTCAGAAACAACACGAAACGACTATATACCTATACAGTAGTTCAGGCTTTACTCGTAATAAATTAATGAAATTATAGGTACATTAATGGAAAAAAACTACAAGAGAGCCAAAACGTTAAAATTCATGCTGAAAAAGGCACTTATACAGTAACGATAAAGGATATTACAATTGAATATTCTGGCAAAGTAAACTCACTCTTTTAGAAAAAATATATTATTTTAGTATCGGAATATTGTCAAAAATTAGTTATCAGATGATTATCAGCTGTCTTTTTGCAGGTTGTGTGTGAAGCAGTAAATGAATTTGGAAAAGCCTCTTCAGAAGCAATGTTACTTGTGCTTCCAAGAGGAGAGCCACCAGATTTTATTGAATGGCTCAGCAACATTAAAGCACGTCAAGGTTCTCAAGTAAAGCACAAGGTGAATCTGTTAATACTTATGTTGATTATGATAGAATCACTTTTTCTTTTTTGGCAGAAAAATGTTGTATTTCAGGTAGTGTTTACTGGTGATCCACGACCTACACTGACCTGGTACATCAACGGTGAAGAGATGCATAACAGTGAAGAAATTTCAATTGTTACTGAGCAGAATACATCAACCCTTACTATAAAATCGTTTAAGGCGGAAAAACATACTGGCGAGATTATTTGTAGAGCTGAAAATGAAGCTGGCGAAGTATCCTGTACAGCGAGCATGGGAGTAAGAATGCTACTCAATACTTTAATTTTTCTTTTCAAAACAGACACAATTTTAGGTTTTTTCACTTGTCCTACAAAGTTAATATAGCGTATTAATGCGTAATTTGATACTATAGCTCTTATTTCATTTCATGAACATTGAGAGTTTACAGAAGACTTGTCTGACAAACAAATCACTTACTTAACTGACAGTTATATTTATTGGGAGGAAAGTTTTTGACTTTTTTAAGGTTTACACTTCTGAGATGTATTCGGAATCAACCTCAGAAGCGATGGCTGAAGAAATTGACACTGTTTCAGAACAAGGTGCTTTACGAACTCCTCTATTTTTATCACAAGTTTTTTTGAAAGGATTTTCTGTTTTAAACATATCAGTTACCAGGTTTTTTTTCTTATTGCACTTAATTGCTTGGTTTTTTATTAATTATTGTGTGTGGTGTGCAGGCACAGATAACGAAGAGTCCTTGGCTGAATCAGCACAGATACGAACACCAACACCAATTTTAGCACCAAAGTTTATCACTAAGATTAAAGACACTCGTACGGCGAAAGGAAGTCAAGCAATATTTGAGTGCGTTGTGCCTGACTCAAAGGGTGTTGTCTGTAAATGGTCAGTATTAATAAGTGACCACTGGTTTCCTTCTTTTAACACAAATAATAATTAGTTTTAAAGAACACTCTATTTTCTCTATTATAACTGTTCGAGATATATTGGTTGAAAAGCATGAGAAAATGTGTGAGAACTTTTTTGAAACTGACGAATCACTAGGTATCAGTAGTGCCTAAGCAACAAACCTCTCTGCTTAAAATCAACTCGAGTGAATTTAACTTTAAAAAGAACCAACATAGATTGAACATCTACTAACAATACGTCAAATTATGTCGCTTGGCCTTTTAAGGTTGAAAGATGGCAAGGAAATTGAGTTGATTGCGCGAATTCGAGTACAGACGAGATCTATTGAAGGCTTTACTACTACTGAACTAATTATAGATGATGTACAGACTGATGACGCTGGTCTTTACAGCGTTGTAGTTGAAAATGTTGCTGGAATGGAGACATGCCAAGCCAACCTATATGTTGTTGGTGAGCAAATTTATTTGGCGGATATATGCGGGTGAATCCAGCTAAAAAGAACCCCTAAGGGTGCATTTACCAGTGCAACTAGTTAGACCTGATCTGAGAAATCTAAAAAATGGAATAGTTTAATGCTTAGTTGTATGCTCAAGAAGTGCAAGAGCGAAGACGGTTGAAGGCATATTTTTCTCCAGCCGCTAATGGCGTGCCTCAAATTAGATCGTTTTACAGATTATTGGCTAGAAAATTTATTTAACTTGAAAGAAATGATATACGAAACACTCAGCCATTATTAGCGCGACATTCCATTTTAGAAGAATTAAAGAAGCCAGAAAGCCGGGCGCCAGAATTCACTATAGCTTTACGTGACAAGAGTACTCAAGCTGGCGAAAAATCAGTTTTTGAATGCAAAGTTACTGGTGAACCACAACCAAAAGTAACATGGTATCATGAAAAGGTGAAGCGTAAGTCTGTATCTTTTAGGGAACAAAAATATTTTTGTCTTTTTTTCTAAGAGAAATCTTCAGAAGTAAAAGTGCAGTTAATTTGTTATCAGTTGCTATACAAGCTGGTGCACAGCTTTAGTCTCAACTTGACAACAAAAGTTTTTTGCGCAGTTAAACTTGAATACACAATCAGATGCCTATCGGCACAAACCAAAAGTTAATTTAATCCCTACAGATTGAGCTAGAAGACACGGGTAAGAAGGTGAAAATTGAGTCGTCTGGGGATATCCAGCGGCTTACAATAGCTTCAACTGAATTTGATGATCATGGCAAGTACACATGCGTGGCCGAAAATGAAGCGGGTACTACGCGATCAGAGGCTACACTAACAGTTCACGGTTTGCTGTTTGATAATTTTCTTTTTTTCTCATAAATCTCGCTCAAATAAATTAGCAGTTTTGAAAAACTAAATTTAAATTGTAAGAAATATTTTTTAACAAAAAAAAGCATCCAATTTTGAAGTGGTTTTAAGAGTTCTATAACTTCAATTTGACCTTTCAAGTAACCAATTTCATCGATCACATATAATGAAGCACAGGACTCCATGCACGTCAAAAAACTGTTTATCGATTGCACACAAAACTTTCCATTTTTAAAAAAACTAACAACTTTGTTTTAGCTGAAGCACCACAGTTTACACGTCATATTACTGACAAAGAAATAAGCATCGGTGAGAAACTGATTTTGGAGTGTTCTGTCAGTGGTTTGCCCAAGCCTGTTGTGCAGTTTTTCTCCCAGTCAACTAAACTTGTTTCCAACAATCGTGTTTCTGTTGAACATGATCAGACAAACGTCCACTGGCGTTTGGTAATCAAAGAACTAACTAAGGAAGATTTCCAAACATACACTGCTGTCGCTACAAATTCGGTTGGAGTAGCTGAAAGCAAGGCTACGGTGAAAGAAAAGGAGGTTGTTGTGGAGAAGGAGTCTGTTGAAGCAACTGCACTAGAGTTTCCGCGTTTTACGGAAGAGCTTTCTACAGTAACAGTTCAAGAGTCAGAAACAGCCCAGTTTTCTGTTGTTGTTTCTGGAAAGCCAGAACCGGTGTTGGAATGGTATAAGGATGGTAAACCAATTACAGTAGACCATACACACGTTATTACTAAAGAAGAAGACGGGCGACACATTCTTATTATCAAGGAAGCAAGGACTGAAGACGTTGGCACTTACTCGTGTAAAGCAACCAATAAAGCTGGTTCTCTGGAAGTTGCTGCCCAACTCGCGGTTGAAGTCGCTTTACAGCCAGTGTTTAAGGAGACCTTGACCGAAGTAAAAGTACATGAAAACGAGACTGCTCGACTGTCAGTTGTTGTCGAGGGAAAACCGCAACCGGTAGTACAGTGGCTGAAGGATGGATTCCCGGTGAATATTGACAACGAGCACATCTTAACCAAGATAGACGAAAACGGAAGGCACGAGTTAGTGATCAAAGAAGCTAGAGTAACTGACAGTGGCACATATTCTTGCACTGCCACGAACAAAGCAGGAACTGTTGAGACAACGGCTAACTTTGCAGTAGAAGAAACTCTTGAAGCGCCGAAATTCACTCAAGAACTGGTCGAAATGTCAGTGACTCCTGGAGATACTGCAGAACTTGTGGTTAGTGTTGAGGGACGTCCAATGCCCAAGGTTGAGTGGCTTAAAGATGGTATCTCAGTGAACATTGACAACGTTAGTGTCTTTACTAAGAAGGACGACAGAGGGCAGCACACATTAATAATTAAAAACGCTAAGGTTGAGGATTCTGGAAAGTACATTTGTAAAGCAACTAACGATCTTGGGACTGTTGAAACACAGTGTAATTTCACCATTGTAGAAGTGACTAAAGCTCCGACATTTGAAGAAGGCTTGTGTGATGTCTCAGTTCAAGAAGCTGAAAGTGCTTCTCTATCTGTGGTAGTTAGTGGCACCCCAACTCCTGCCGTTCAGTGGTTTAAGAACGGTGCACCTATTGATATTGATAATACTCATATCCTTGTGGCGCGTGAAGCAGAAGGGCGTCACACTCTTTACATTAAGTGTGTTAATCTTGAAGATGCCGGAACATATTCATGTAAAGCTGAAAACAAGGCAGGTGTAGTAGAAAGTAAAGCTAACTTTGCAGTGCAAGAAATTTTGGAAGTCCCACGTTTTGTTGAGGAACTACAACCAGTCACCGTAGAAGAAAACCAAACTGCTACATTATCTATAGTCGTCGACGGCAGACCTCAGCCTGAAGTTCAGTGGTATAAAGACGGAACTCTAATAACTATCGATGGCGATCATTATATTGAAAAGAAGAACGGTGTTGGACGACATGAACTTATAATCAGACAAGCCCGAACTGAAGACGTCGGGGCCTATTCATGTAAGGCGACGAATGCAGTAGGAAAGGCAGAAACTGAGGCAAATTTTGCTGTCGAACAATCAGTAAAACTACCTCAATTCACGGAAGAACTTGAAGAGTTGTCAGTAACGCAAGGAGAAACTGCGACTCTTAAAGTATCTGTAGAGGGAACTCCACAACCGGAGGTGACATGGCTAAAAGCTGGCGTTCCCGTGCAAATAGACAATGTGCATTTGATCGCAAAGAAAGACGAGAAAGGTCAGTATTCCTTAACGATAAAGAATGCCACTGTTGAAGATGCTGGGACGTATTCATGCAAAGCCACAAACGCTGCTGGAACCGCAGAAACTGAAGCGAAATTTGCTGTTGAAAAAACTGTTTCGGTTCCTCACTTTACTGAACAGCTTGAAGAACTTTCAGTAGTGCAAGGAGAAACTGCTACTCTTAAAGTGTCTGTTGAAGGAAGTCCTCAACCTGAAGTAACATGGATGAAATCTGGCGTCCCCGTTAATATTGACAATGTCAATATTATAGCAAAGGAGGATGAAAAGGGACATTATAGCCTAATTATAAAGAAAGCCACTGCCGAAGATGCTGGTACATACTCTTGCAAGGCTACAAATGCTGCTGGAACCGCAACCACAGAAGCGAAGTTCGCTGTCGAAGAAACCGTTTCGGTTCCTCACTTTACTGAACAACTTGAAGAACTTTCAGTATCGCAAGGAGAAACTGCGACTCTTAAAGTATCTGTAGAGGGAACTCCACAACCGGAGGTGACATGGCTAAAAGCTGGCGTTCCCGTGCAAATAGACAATGTGCATTTGATCGCAAAGAAAGACGAGAAAGGTCAGTATTCCTTAACGATAAAGAATGCTACTGTTGAAGATGCAGGGACGTATTCATGCAAAGCCACAAACGCTGCAGGAACCGCAGAAACTGAAGCAAAGTTTGCTGTTGAAAAAACCGTTTCGGTTCCTCACTTTACTGAACAGCTTGAAGAACTTTCAGTAGTGCAAGGAGAAACTGCCACTCTCAAGGTTTCCGTCGAAGGAAGCCCTCAACCTGAAATAACGTGGACGAAATCTGGCGCGCCTGTAAATATCGACAATGTTCATATCATAGCAAAGGAGGATGAAAAGGGACACTATAGCTTAATTATAAAGAAAGCCACTGCCGAAGATGCTGGTACATA